CCCCACCCTGACATACATAAGAACTAATGAAAATAAAAAAACTAAAAAGACGGGACGATTCCTCCGGGACATTCTATGAAGCTGAGGCGGCGAATCGGCTTACGTTACGGTTAGAGATTTCTGCCACTCCACGCTATCCAGAGTGAACATAAAATTTAGTCTTAACCTAAAGGCCAGGGAGTGAGGGGGTAGCCGCCCACTAGAGCATACCATTAGCTAACCTCTTAGACCATCGTACTATGAAGACACATATAACAATATAATATCTAATTGGGATAGGTCTATGCTAATATATGACATCACTAAAATCCTTAGGGAGCAGCAATACAATCAGAGCTCAGCTCCGCAGGAATTAGCAAACGATACAGGTTTGCATAATCATTCTTCAGTGGATTTATTATGGGGTTGGGGGTAGGTGCTGAGTGCTGATTTGCGGCCGAATACCGATGTACTCGATGGAATATTAATGTGACGGCTTTCATGGCTGCGTTCAATTTTCGTTACTGTTTTTCAAATCATCACAGAAAAAGATGTACACTTCTTATGTCCAACAGACATCACAAGTATTCGGATAAACAACAAAAATCTCTTGACCAGGAGCAGATCATACTAGMCGAAGATTTGCCGGGTTCARTGCAAYACAATTGAAGACTTCTCTGATCTTCCAACATAATTAAACTCGAACGTTACACATTTTCGTTGTTGGTGATATAAAAGCTTGCAAATGAATTAATATTKATTATTAAATAATARAAATGTAGAGCACAACCATGACTTGAAATGTGCGTACTTATTTTTGCGTGATTCATTGACCTATTGTAAAGTAACGTAACKTTGTCATGGGTTTATCTTTAGACTCGTCTTCGTGGCGGACTCATCGCCTATTAGTCGGACTAGCCGAAGGCGGTCCGACTTTAAATTTACCTTTTAGCCTATCTATCTATGTATTATGTCGCGTTTGGACCACCGGAAGTTAAGAATTTAATTAACTGTTGGGCTGGCTGTGTTATTACATGAGCGGAAGCTGAAACGTATTGATGTACGAATATATATCGTTAGTAAATATTATATGCTACTCGCGCTTTTATATTATAAAAAACTATTCGTTTACAAATGTGGTATATGTGATCTCATCGGAATGCATCAGTCTAGGTATCATAAGTACGCGCATGTGCAGATTGCTTGGTGCTTCGAGTAGTATGCTTTCGAAACTAAATCAATGGCCTTTTTAGCGTTAGGCAGTGTTGTGTGGGCAAAGATTTCAAATTAGAACAAGAAGAAACATTTTTTATCAATAAAAAAGGGCGAGTTTAATGATTTTATAGGTATCATTTACTTTGTAAAGTATTTTCTTGGCCTGAGAGGTCAACGTTATCACTTAGCGTCACGTCTACATAGCACGTTTGATTTTATCAGTGAAAGCAAGGACTCTTTTAAAACGTTCATTGCTATATTAATTACATGACCTTTTAGGTCAAGTTTATTTTAGTCTCAAAGAGAGTTTGGATATTTTGAACTAGACG